ACACACACACACACACACACACACACACACACACAAAAGAAAGGAAGAAAGGAAGGAAGAAGGAAAGAAAGAAAAAGGCAGGCAGGCAGTTAAGAGCCAGCAAGATGGCTCAGCAGGTAAAGGTGCTTGCTGCCAGCCTGACAACCTGAGTTTGATCCCTGGGCCCTAGCATGTACGCAGGCACACGTGCCCACACAATACCAAATGGTGCCAATGGGTGCAGAAACCAAGGTGATGACTTGGGATGTCCATTAGAAAAAGAGTCTGAGAACAGAAGATGAGGAGAGGGAGGGAGAAATGAGCCTCCCCCCACACTAACCTGCTCCCCAACGCCCATCTCCTCAGGGTGTCTTCATCTTAGTGTTTGGCTGCCTCACAGACAAGAAGGTGAGTGCCCAGTTAGCTCCCCACTCCTGCCCCAGAGGCCTAAATGCCATCAGCACAAGCAGGTGTTCACCTTCCCTTCAGGTACTTCAGGCCTTGCGCAAACGCTTCCATGTCCCAGGCACTCAGTCCTCCAACTCTGCCATCTCCCTGGTGAGTTTCCCCAAGCCTTAGCTGTGCAAGATTTGGCCAGCCATTCTCCAGCCCCCCAGGGAGAGATGGACCCAGCCAGGAAAGGAGAGTTAGCGGTTCTTTTTACAGCAAGCAGCTTTCAGACTCAGTTTCCCAGCCACGGGATGGGGGCAGGTGGGCCTACCAGCCTGCATAGTCAGAATGGGATTTTGGGGTTCCAGTGACCCCCTGGATACCTGGTGATTCTCCTCTCCACAGTCTCCCCATCTAATACTCTACTCCACATTAATATTTGGAGGGAAACGATGGAGTAGGGCCCTATGGGACCTATGTAGCTGGTACCAGAGTTCCTGGAAGAGCTGGCGGGAATGTTAGAATGCATACACCCTCCTCACGGTGGGTGAGCTGTAATATATACATCACCCCAGCTGGACCTCTCTACTTCTCCCCAGGCCACAAATGAAAGCTACACTTCAGAACACAGCAAAGAAAGAAGTGAGCATGCCAGGTGAGGGGCAGCTTTCTCAGGAGCAGAGCAAGAATGGAGGTGAAAGAGGCTGGAACAAGGGCCTCCAGGCCAAGTCTCCCCAACTCCTCCCCCCATGCCAGGGATTAGAGCCAGAATCTGGAGACCTAAGCCATATCCCCATGCTCCAGATCTTAAGTTTTCATTTTTTTAAAAGATTTTATTTATTATGTATACAACATTCTGCTTCCATGTAAATCTGCACACCAGAAGAGGGCACCAGATCTCATTACAGATGGTTGTGAGCCACCATGTGGTTTCTGGGAATTGAACTCAGGACCTCTGGAAGAGCAGTTGGTGCTCTTAACCTCTGGGCCATCTCTCCAGTCCCTTAAGGTTTCATTTTGAGACAGGGTCTTGTTAAGTTACCAAGGCTGGCCTTGAACTCACTCTAATTAACAGGATGTGAACTTGTGATCTCCTGGCCTCAGCCTCCCAGGTGCTTGGATAACAGGCATGTGACATTATACCTTCTTGGCAAGCAGCTGCTCGGCAAAGCCTTACCCTACCGGTGTGGCCCTCCCTGAGTGAGCTGCAGCACAGAGGCGAAGCTCAATAAACTAGGATCTAGTTCATTCCAGAGGTTCCCACTCCACAATACCAACCTTTAAATTATCCGGAAAAACCCTCGCCTCCGCCAGGTGTGGTGTGTATAAGCAGGAGGAGATATATATATATATATATATATATATATATATATATATATATCATCTATAGTGTGTGTTTGAGTGTGTGTGTGTGTGTGTGTGTGTTCAACCAACCAGTCCTGCCTTAAATGACTTGCCCTTGTGGGTTCTGCTATCTGGTTTACAACAGAAAAGGCAAGGTATCCTGTCTCCCAGCCCCAAGCTTCAGGGTGACCTTTTCTAATAGGAAAGACAGACATTCCAGGATGATCCACCCATGAGCTCATGTTCCGGTCGAGGGAGGTGAGGGTGAACACACTGCTCCTTACTCAGAACAGGCAGATTTTCATTTCCATCAGTCATAGGCATTCCTCGTAAAGCTCAATAGTCCAGAGCCTCTGAAGTATCCATGCAAGGTGCATGACAAAAAGTAACTAAAGCTACTCAGTGACCTGATGAAAAAGCCTGCCTTTGCTAAAAACTAAACAATAAAACAAAAGAAAAAATACAGGTGTCAACATTCCAAAGAACTACAAGGAAAACAGTTGTTTTTCTCTGTATAACAGCCCTGGCTGTCTTGGAACTCACTTTGTAGACCAGGCTGGCCTCGAACTCACAGAGATCCTTCTGCTTCTACCTCCTGAGTGCTGGGATCAAAGGCATGTGCCGCCTTGGCTTGGCAAGAAAAACAGTTTTAATCAGTAGTGCATGTTAGAGACACAAGGGAAATGTTTTTAATGTCACTACTGAGTGATTTATTTGCTGTTTCTTTTTGACAGTTATGAAGAAAGGATGACTGATTGACAGGAACCTGTGATCTTCTGGACACTGAAGATGAAGGGCAGAAGTCAGTTTCTTTGGGGACACTAGTTACAAAATCCTTACTAATATCACTGCTTTTAAAATACACCGAAAGAGGCAATTTACTAATCTATGAAGTGGCACATACATGACATAGAAAAACTTCAGAGTGACGGTGAATTCACCTATTAAAGCAGGTGACTGAAACTTAAGCAACAGTGAAAGCTTTGACATTGCCCTCTTAAACATACGCTTGTTCAGGCTGGCAAGGGAGGAACCTGGCAATGTCAGACACTGGGAAGTGCTTTACAATACATTTCCAAGTTTACATTTACTTACATAACCACAATAAAAAGCTGACCACACATGGGCCTGTGTGTTTCATAGCAGAGCAGTAACATTGATGGCAGCTTTAGAACTATCTCATAGGAAATATGAACAATCATATTCCCGTGGTCCAAGATTTTCGAGTGGTCAAAATGCCTCTGAAGTAGCTGTAAGTTTTACCAATCTTTATATCTCACTTTTGCAACATATACAATGTTCTATAATTCCAGGTGTGGTGGTGCGTGTTTTTAATCCCAGTACTTGAAAGGCAGAACCAGACAGATCTCTGAATTCAAGCCAGCCTGGTCAACAAAGTGAGTTCTAGCATATCCAGGACTGTACAGAGAAACTCTGTCTTAAAAAGCCAAACCAAATCAAACCAAACAAGCAAAAAACTATGTTCTGTAATCTTTCTTTCCTTGTTCTTTTTTTTCATTTTCCATCTATGTACCACATTAGAGAAGTACCTAAGAGGCCAGAAGAGGGTGTCAGATACCCTGGAGTGACCCACAGTTTTGAGCCACCGTGAGAGAGCTGGGAATCAAACCCAGGTCCCTGGAAGAGCAGCCAGAGCTCTCGATCAATGAGCACTCTCCTGTGTGACATGTGTTTTAATAGCTCTTAATAATAAAAACCTGGGTCAGATATCAGGCAAATGCCAAAAGGTCAGAAAAGTAAAGGAGCAGCCACAGAGACCTCTTACCTGTACTGAATCCTCAGACCAAAGGGGCCACCCTGTCCATACGAATCCTCAGACTGAATTCAATGAGCTCCCATCTCCTCCGGCCTTGTATCCCTCTCTCTGCCCAGACATATCACTCCTGTCTCCACCTCCCTAGTGCTGAGATAAAAGGTGTGTACCACCACTGCCTGTCATCTATGTCTAACTAGAGTGGCTAGCTCTACACTCTGATCATCAGGCAAGCTTTATTTGTTAGATCACAAACAAAATATCACCACACTCAGCCTTTTTAAGGTTTGCATCTTTTTAAGGTTTCAGAAACGGTGAAGTCCTTCTATCATTAACTTTAAAAAATCAATATAAAATATATGTATCAGAGAAATATGTATAGAAACAAAAAGACACATTTGAATGACACTTGAAAGTGACAGGATTAAGGCAAGACAGAAGAGTAAGATGCAATTAGACAGGACAATAAGACATCTGGCTAAATTAATAGAATTCAAAAAGGAGTAACAGGTTTTTGAGAAAATATTAAGAGCAATGAAAATTTTCTGATGAGTCTTTCAAATTTACTTGCTCTATGGATATTTTTATAAAATGGGATGTTAAAACTGGAGAATCAGCAAGATGGCTCAGCAAGTAAAAGTGCTTGCCACAAGGGCCTGACAACTTGAGTTTGCTCATCAGAACCCATAGATGGTGGAAGAAAACTGAATCCCCAAAGTTGCTCTCTGTCATGGGATGCACACGCTCACTCCCACCCCCCACCCCACTCCACATACATACACACAAATAAATGTAACAAAAATTAGAGATAGAAATTGCACTAATGCTCTTTCCCTTTAGAAGCAGAGGAGACTGCCTTCCTTAGTGTGCTTTGGGGGGGCAGGGGATTTCTTTTTCCTTCCCAAATGATCACACATACTCAATGCTCTTGGAACAAGTACATGAAACATTAAGCCTTCATTTGGCTCTCACCATTAAAAAAAATAGTCCATAAAAGAAGTCTCCAGAGACAAATAAAGGAAAACACATTTCAAAGCAATCCCATTTCTAAGATGGCTTAAAAAGGAAATGGACAACTGGGCAGATAAATGTGCAGAGGCCAAGCTCCAGTCTCGGTAACATGAGAAGCAGCTGGCAAGAGCAGGGAGGAAAAATCCATATGTAGGGCTGCCATGTGGTCAGTAGCGTGGGGAAGTGGTTAGGCTATAGAGCTCTAAGCAAAGAGCTCCCAGGCAGCGTCACACTGTGGGACCCTGGAGTGTACAGATACGCCCTGAAGAGGAGAGAGATCAGTGTTAACAATGGCTCTAAGGCACTGGTCTATCTTTATTTTTGTTGTTGTTCAATCTGTTACTAGTTTATTTGGGACTTTTCCTTTTTCTTTTCAACCCACACCCGTTACTCTGTGTAGCCTTTGCTGTCCCGGAACTCACTCTATAGACCAGACCTGCCTCAAACTCAGAGATCCACCTGCCCACCCTTATTCAGGACTCTTTCTCTCCCTCCTTCTCTCTCTCTTTAGTTTTTTTGTTTGTTTGTTTTGTTATCAACAGTGTTTCTCTGTGTAGTCCTGGCTGTCCTAGACTTGCTCTATAGACCAGGCTGGTCTTGAACTCAAAGATCCACCTGCCTCTGCCTCCACCCAGATTAGGATTTTTCAATGAATAAGAATCATTGGTTGGAGGGACTGGAGGATGTTGAAGTGGGATGACACAAATACTGGCAATGGTGCTGTCCTGAAAGGGAATGCATTGCTGTGAAAGAGAAGAATATAGTTGTTTGTTTTTACTTTTACTCCTTACTCTATTCTTTTACTCTTTTGGGGGTCCGCTACCCACCTCCCAAATAATCACTCATGCAGAGGCTTATTCTTACTTATAAATGCCTGGTCTTAGCTTGGCTTGGTTATAGCCAGCTTTTCTTTAGTTATGCCGGCTACCTTTTGCCTCTGGGCTTTTTCCTTTTCTTCTGTATTTCTTTCACTCTTACTCCATGGCTGGCTGTGTGGCTGTGTAACTGGCCCCTGAGTCCTCTCTTCTCCTTTTCTTGCTCCTTCTTTCTCCCAGATTTCTCCTTCTATTTATCCTCTCTGCCTGCTAGCCCACCATCCCTGCTCCTGCTTCACTGCTGGCCATTCAGCTCTTTATTAGCCCATCAGGTGTTTTAGACAGACACAGTAACACAGCTTCAGAGTTACACAAATGCAGCATAAACAGAAGTAATACATCTTTATATCATTAAGCAAATAAATGTTCCACAGCATAAACTAAAATAGCACACCTTAAAATATTTATTCTACAGCAGAAAATGCTCTTAGACTTTGTTGGCAATATCAGGAGCTGCACTGGACCAAGTTCTTTCCCCTTTTGTATAGCGGACTGTCAATTCAAACAGTTGATTGCCAAAGCAGAATGACAAATGACAATTTAAAACTTCCTTAGCTGCAAATTGAGGCAGGAAAAGTGTAAGTTTCAAGCCACCCTGGGCTACACAGTAGTTAGACTTCCTCAGAAGCCATGTTTCCTTAATTATTGAGTTTATATGATTAAAGATTCTGAACTTTTCCAAAGTAATCATTTCTAATATAAAGACACATTTTAGTTCTGAAGGAGGAGTTAAGTCCAGGGAGCTGATGTGGGAACTATAGTTGATCATAATGTATTGTGTGCTGGAAATTTACCAAAAGAGAAGCTTTGAGCTACTGCACACACACACACACACACACACACACACACACACACACTTCATGGCATATATATAGAGGTCAAAGACAATTTATGTTTTCTCCTTTCACTATGCGGGTCTGCTGTGGAATAATCCTTTTGTATACTATGAAGATCTGTCACTCATTGGTTTAATAAAAAGCTGATTGGCCAGTGGCCAGGCAGGAAGTATAGGTGGGACAACCAAACTAAGGATGCTGGGATGAAGAAGGGCAGAGTCAGAGGAGTTGCCAGCCAGACACAGAATGAGTGGGAAACACAAAACAGATAGAGGTAAAAGCCATGTGGCACAATGTGGATTAATGGAGATGGGTTGATTTAAGTTGTAAGAGCTGGATAGTAATAAGCCCGAGCTATTGGCCGAGCATTTATAATTCATATTAAGTCTCTGTGTCAGTTATTTGAGACTGGTGGGTGGGAAAGAAACATCCATCTATGTGGGTCGTGAGATCAAACTCAACTTGTCAAGCTTGGTGGCAAGGACCTTTACTTGCTGAGCGATGTGGCCAGCTCAAGAAAGTGCTTTTGATTAATGCCATTTTCCCCAACTCAGAGCTTTTCTGCCAGGCGTTAGTGGCACATGCCTTTAGTCCCAGCATGCAGGAGGTAGAGGATTTCTGTGAGTTCGGAGGTCAGCCTGGTCTACAGATCAAGTTCCAGGACAGGTTCCAAAGCAATACAGAGAAACCCTGTCTCGAAGGTGGGGGGTCTTTTCTAACTCACAAAATTAATTTTCACTTGATAACTATTACATTTAGATAACTCTGGGAAAATTAAAGCGTTTCTAAAGTGTGGTTAGTGGCACTGCTGTAATGTAAGTTGTGTCAACTTGACACAAGCTGGAGTCATCAGAGAGGAAGGAGCCTCAGCTGATGAAATGTGTCCTTGAGATCCAGCTGTAAGGCATTTTCCCAATTAGTGATTTATGTTGGAGGGTCCAGCCCATGGTGGGTGGTGCCATGCCTGGGCTGGTGGTCCTGGGTTCTATAAGAAAGCAGGTTAAACAAGCCAGGGGAAGAAAGCCAGTAAACAGTTCCCCTCCTTGGCCTCAGCATCAGCTCCTGCCTCCAGGTTCCTGCCCTGTTTGAGTTCTTCTTCTGACTTCCTTCAATATGAACAGCAATATGGAAGTGTAAGCCAGGTAAACCCTTCCCTCCCAACTTGCTTTTGGTCATAGTATTTCATCCCATCAATAGAAACCCTAAGACAACTGCCACTGATTCCTTAAGTCTAGGATTCTCCAAAGCATTCCTAGAAACTACAGAGATACTGAGAATCCGTCTACCTTTTCCCTCTGATGGGCTGATTATCCGAATAGCATGTTTCTACAGCATGTGTGGTAAATACAAACAAAATATTGAATGTGGCATTACATCAGCTAACATCTTGTGAAAAACTACTTATTGCTATTTCTAGCAATCTTTTCTTTCTTTTTTCCTTGAGACAGGGTTTCTCTGTGTAGCCCTAGCTGTCCTGGAACTCACTGTGTAGACCAGGCTGGCCTTGAACTCCGCCTGCCTCTGCTTCCTTGAGATCTGAGACTAAAGGTGTGCCCTTCCCCTCTTTTCTTATTGACCAGAGACTAGGTGATAAGGATTCTGTCATTTTTGCAAATGAATTTAAA